CCTTTACGGAGGAGTGTTGTTAGGTTTCCTTTTGCCATAGAGAGTCGTCCCACTGAGGTTTCTGCTCTCCTGAGCTCTGCCTGGTTAATAAGCAATTTAAGGCCCTTAGGAGCCTCTTTGACAGGCGTTGGGCATAGCTAGGCATCCACTTGTTATACAGAGTTGTCTTGCTGAGGCCTCCGTCCTTTGAGCTCAGTTAGGGGCTAGGTTGCTAGGCTCTCTATGAGCCTCCCTGGCTATTGCCTTTAAATTGGGAGTGTTGCTAGGCCTCCTCTTGCTTTAGAGAGTCATTCTGCTGAGGCTTCCAGTCCCCGGAGCTCTGCCTGTGTCGCAGTTCTGAGTTATTAGGTTCTCTGTGAGCCTTCTTGGAAAGCTGTCCTGAGCATCAGACGTAGCAAGGCCTCCTCTCGCTTTAGAGTCGTTCATCTGAGGCCTCCATTCTCAGAGCTTCAGTCATCGAAGATATTCCCTTAAAGGTGTTCTCTGGAAAACCAAAGCCTTGAGCTTTGCCCCTGGGCTGAGCTTCTTTTTGACTTGGCCCTGATAAGGTATGCAGCTCGGGCTTTGGCTGTAGAAAATTAAGTCACAACAGCCGTAGGTGAGTTCCTGAGGGACTGGGACTCCTTTAGAGTCTTTGACCGATACGGCATGGCGGAGTGGTTATTTGTTCCCCACAGTGTCCTCTAGAGCAGTGGTTCTGAAATCTGTCCTGGGGACCCCCAACCACTGCCAATTGTGTTTGTCTCCCTCATAAGCCACACCCAGTTTAAGTCTTGCAGACTCTACTAATCAGCAGAGTTGAATCAGGTGTGTTAAATAAGGGAGACATACAAAATATGCAGTGTTTGGGGGTCCCCAGAACAGCTTTGAGAAGCACTGATCTAGAGGATGCAGTGCTTGTTCCCATTCGAAAGGGAACGTCTCAGGTTATTCATGTAACCATGATTCCCTTAGAAGGTGAACAAGACGCTACATCTCCTTGCCATGCTTCGGGTATTCCTGTGCATGTCTCCTTTAGACATGAAGTGGATGACGTGTTCTACAGGTGCCCTTTTATACTCATGGTCGCACTAGTACTGACATCATAGGCTTTCACCAGCCAGTGTCAAGTTCATTGTCATGTTTATACCATAGACTGTAAAAAAACATGGACGTAGTGTCCGTGACGTCACCCATAGGTTTCTAAAGAGCGTTTTTGAAGCTCAAAGTGGGCGGAGCCGACCGTCGCCATCTTGGCAGCGCGTCACCGCACGTCACTCCCGGATAATCGAAAATGGGCAAAGAGGCGGGAGCTGGATGCTGAAACCACGCCCACCTAGCTCGACGGTGGTGACAGCAGCGGCAGTTCACCTGTCACTCAAGTGGCCACGCCCTTAATTATGCAGAACTTTAAGGCTTAATATAATTTAAACGGATGAGTTATAAAAAAAATTCACCCCCCTCACAGTTGTCATGAAGGGCAAAATTAGCTATATAGACCAAAATAATTTTTTGAACCAGGCTGTAAACATGTTTTTTTCTGCTGTAAAGTTGGGCATTTTAACATGGGGAGTCTATGGGATTGACTCCCTTTTGAATCCAGCCTCTAGCGGCCAGTTGATGAATTACGGTTTAAGTCACTTCCGTGTTGGTTTCACGAGAGAGAGCGGGAGGTTGCTGCTCGGTTTATACACTGCTTCAGACACCCGTCATGCCAGAGTCATTCCCCATAGTGTCCACTAGAGGATGCAGTGTCTTGTTTCCCTTCTCAGAACCATGGTTACATGGTAACCTGAGACATTCTTGCAGTGTAGCACAAGCAAGTTTGAGCTTCCACAAGGACCAGTGATATTTGTTCTCTTGTGTCAAGCACTGATCTACGGAAGCCTGCTTCCGCCACAGAATGAAAAATAAAAATTTAATTATTATTATTTTTTTTTAATCTCACAAAACTTATTCTATGAAGAAAAATCCCAATTGTAAGATATAAACTCACAAAAAGTCAGAAAAAATTCGCAATTCTTTTTTTTCTTTTTTTTTTCTTTTTCTTTCGATGGTGGAAACAGAAAAAAAAGCAGAATTGCAAGATTGTTGCTATTATTGCTATTTTTTATTCTGTGGTGGAAACTGGCTTCCATATTGATCTGTTTATATAAGAGAATAAAAGGTTAAATTAAGTTTGTTCACCATGTAAACCAATCGTATCTGTTCAGAAAAGTTGGATTAAACGGCTTCCTACGGATTACTTTTACAATGTCTTTATGAACTTTTTGGGACAAAAATGATAAAAATAAATAAAAGTCTTTTGGAACAGCATGGGGGATGAGTAAATTGTGACAGATTTTTTTAACTAAGTCACACAAAATATCTCAGACTCTTGAAGTTTGAAAAACTACCTATGTACTCATGAAGAACAAGAATAGATTATTCCAAAATTGACCAAAAGTATCTACCTTCTTCTAATTAAGAGGTTAATTAAGAGCTGTTCAGTTATTTCTGTCAGGACAAGTCATAATGCCAGTTACATATACAGTGATGCTATTCTGGTTTGGGGGCCCTTTCCTATCCCAGCCTGACAACAGATGCCCCTTTTTACCTATTAAATGCCAATTTGTTTATTTAAAAGAGAGAAAAAAATCAATGATTTTCCATATACTAAATGCTAAGCAGATTTTTATTTTTATTTTTTGTAACAGTTACAGTTACAGGTTATTACAGTCTTGGGTAAGTATTTGCTCCAAAGTCCAAAGCTGAGAAAATGACGCTATCAGGTGGAAAACAGTAACAATTTGAACCATTTTATAAATGGTAAAATGTTAAACCATTGCTGACAGAATGAAAGCCTATGAACAAGGATGCATGATTTTATTCTTAAATGGCACTGAGATTAAATATTGCAACTCGAGTTTCAATAAAGCTGAAATAATGTGCAATGAGTTTCAATGCAACATTTTTGTCCGTAAAGTCCTGAGTATAACTATGTTTTGTACCTACAGTAAAATAAACTTATAGAAGGAAATGAGGTTGAAATATTAAATTTCAAATAAAGATGCACATTTTTTCCCCTAAGGATGCACAAAGGTTACATTTTCTAGATGCCATTGCACCATAAATATTTACCCTTTCAATAATGACAGTAAAACACAAACCTGCAGTTAGAAAGGATCCTGCTTTGTTTTGATGCAGAATTCGTTTTTATGACTGATTTATGAATTAACATATAAGGATGCAATACACGTTCCTCGGTTTGGGTGCAATTAAGCTCTCTATTGTCCAGGACTGCACACTACTTGAGAAGCTTGCTTAAAGTGCGTGTCCCACACAGGTCCGATGACAGCCATCTGCTGGGGTTCAGGCCCCTCGGTTCTTATTGTCCGCTTTAGAGAGAAAAGCCCTTCCCCCGACTCCTCATATTTGAGCTGTGTTCTCGAAAGACATGATCCAGTGATGACTCGATCGAAATGAGCTTCTCAGATGATATTTTAGATTTTCAGCTAGAGTCCCTCTGATCATCATCATAAATTATAAAGGCTGAAGTGACGTCAGCGTGAACTCGACTCCTGCGAACGCAAACAGGGTTATAAGCAAAGCTCGTGTTTAAAGAGTTTTTGCGCTCGAGTAAAGGCAGATTATGCTCCGCCAGCCGCTTCGCTTCACGAGCAGCAGCAGGACGGAGGATGAGGCGGCGGACTCGGGCGCGGAGACCGCGGGGTGAGTTGGCGGAGAAAGCTAAACAACAGCTCGCGTTTGTTTGCGGGAGAAACACAGTAACGGACAGTGAGTGCCGAATGCTTTATGACGTAAGCAACAAACGATACATTCTAACACTTCAAACATCTTTTGATCTTCAAAAACGCGCCATTTAATGCGGATTAAAGTACATAATCTAAATCAGACTACTATTTATTATTCATTTGTATGTAACCTGCCAAGTGTTGAAGGACCATGAATTAAACTTTTTTTGTTAAATTAAAGTTTTTTAACTCGGTTCAAGTTTCAGGACCTTTAGGTTACAATAGCACTTTTGCTTCTAGGATTGGCCATCCTGATGCTAATAAATCAACAAAAGAGGTGTGGATACCAAAAAATCTTGTCGGGCATGTTTAGCATCAGAATCATTAGATGTCATTAAAAGACTCTATTTCAGGATCACAGTGCAGTTTGCCCCAAAATACGAATTAATTGTCATTTTAAATCTTTACCATTTTTGCCAACATCCTTCAAACCACTAGGTTTTACCCATTTAAATGATTGTTTTTAATCATTTAAAATATAATACAATTTTCTCACTTTTTCTTTTATATATTTTAATAAGTACAGGTCCGAATAAGTATGTTATTTCATTTTTATATACATATAACTGTTGAAGCATTGATGGAACATGATTTTACCCATATTTTGACGTTTTATTTTCACAAAGGTTGTTTGAAACATTAAAGTAGACACTTTACTTGCATTTAATATGCTTTCTATGTAAGTAAAATCACTTTTGTAAATTTAATTTGATGCGGACACCAAAATGGGACATCATGTCTTTGAACTATATATACAAGTCTATATGGCTTTTCTGTTTTTGATATTGTCAAACGTAGTGCCATATTTTTTTTACTTCTTTTATACATTTTTCACAATTTGGCTTAGCTTTGAATGTGATATCTTCCATGAAAAATAAAAAGAAACTGTACTTTTTGAATGAATAGTAGCTTATACAAAAAAAAAAAAAAAAAAAAAATCCAAACATCCTAGAAATAAAGTTGGAGACATCCATCCAAAATATTTTTTAATATACACATTGACAGAAAAGTTAAATCACAGATTCTATAGCAACACCACAAATTTCAGTGTTTTTCATCTCATCTCTAACGTTCAAATCATTCCTTAGCAGGGTAAATTCTGTGTAATATTTTAAAGGATACCTCTCTGTTATTTATAAAAAACTTGTTTGTTATTTGCTGATAGATGGATATCAGTTGAACAGTATTACACTCATTATAATAAGTGTGCTTTTTCTTTTCTTTAGATCTGACTGCAGTAAAATGTCCTGCAGTAGCAGTGAGTCCATTTTCTTTGTTTAATGTTCTATCAACAGTCAGGCTTGTTTTGCCATCTGTGATTAGATTTTTCCTCACCGCTCTGTCTGTGGCTTCCTCTGCCCTTTGTTCAGCTGACCTCTCGGCTGTCCCGGGTCAGGAGCTCCTTCTGCTCACCATGCATCTGCTCACCAACCCCGGCACCTCGTTGCTCCTCCAGCACACTCTGGACCGCCTGCTGAAGTGGGTCCATCCCGGCCTGCGCCTCTTCCACGTGTCTGAGCGGGCCTGTCCTCTTCATGACCACACCAGAGCTAACCAGCGCCCCGCGGCTGGCCACCCCTCACACGCCGTCACCATATTCTTACACGAGTCTTACGGAGAGGAACGCATTCTCAGAGTGCTGGACTTCCTGCAGTGTCCGCCCTGGCAGTACCACCATACGGAGAGCTGCGGCACCAGAGAGGCCGGCGTTCACGTTAACTCCCCGTCCAGCGCCCTACTGAGGCCTTATCTCCTGCCCAGCCGGGACTTCTACAGCCTGGGTGCGGGGATGCCGGTGTGGGGTGTGCGGCCGGTGCACTACGGAGGAGAGGTGGTGCGGGTGACTTTGCACAGCACCTATGATAACTTTGAGGACACTGTGCGTTTATATGAGACGGTACTGCAGAGGAGGGTAGAAGAGCAGAAGACGGGCTTTTGCTGGTTCACGCTGCTCACAGAAGCAGGCTTCAGCCTACAGCTGGCCATCAAGCAGCTCGCGCCCGGGGTACGAGTGGAGCCGTGTTACTCCATGGTGCTGCAGTTCAGGGTGGGGGAGATCGGACAGCTCGTGCCCTTACTGCCCAACACCTGCTCACCCATCAGCGCCAGCCGATGGCACACCGAAGATCTGGACGGCAACAAGATCCTCTTTCAAGTAGGTCACAGGAAATGTGCTCTGGTTTCTATAAGCCCTTTTAGTGAACAGTCATACTAGAGTTTCTACGGGTCTTAAAATGGTCTTTAAAAGTCTTAATTTGGCCTTCCACAAATTAAGGCCTTAAAAGAGCAGGAAGTCTTACAGTAAATTTATATTCATGGAATTAAATTTAGCATGAATTGCAACAAAAAAATGATATTATCTTCCTCCGTATTTTTGTCTTGTTTTCCAATACAAAGATCTGAACATCCTTAAATTAAGAGCCATTTGAGATGCAAAATGAAGATATGAAGTCTAGGAAATTTAACAAAAATGAAGTGAGTTTACGCTCAAAACAAGACAAATATCTGTCAATGGAGTATGAAAAATAAACTTTTTTTCTCTTTGAAAATGTCAGTAAATTGACAGATAAATTCAGTTCAATTCAATTCCAATTTATTTGTATTCTGCCTTTCACAATACACATTGTTTCAAAGCAGCTTTACAGAAAATGCATGCATCTACATTACAATTTAGAGTGATCTGTTATCAGAAGTGAATGTGTCCAAGGAATGTCCAGTTCAGAAATGAACAGTTCAAGACAATAGAATCATACAGTTATGAATTAATTAATTTTAGGCAGAAAAAATTAGCTCATTAAAGCAATTATTGCAAGTTTGATCACAATGATTACAATATAGAAATTTTGGGAGTTGTGCATGTTGATTCAAGTTGGCGTCATCTGAGGTCCTTGCAGGGGTCAGCGTCATCTCTTCACAGGCGTTGGGTCAGCTGAAGTCTTCATACGAGGCTGGATCCACGCTGGAGCTGGCGTAATCTCTAGTTACCTCGAGATGGGTATCCCAAAAAGGCAAATGGAAAATTATTAGCTTAGCTGCTGTTCATGACGTTTCAAGCTAAAAAAAAAATGTTTATGTGAATTTTATCTGATATAATTAGGAACAAGGGTATGAGATTCATACAATATTATTAACTCGTCGTTATCTTTAAGTCACGTCCCAAAACTATTCAAGCTGGCTGTTATTAAGCCTCTTATTAAGAAACCACATCTAGATCCTAGTGAACTGGCAAATTACAGACTCATCTCAAATCTTCCGTTTATGTCAAAAATTTTAGAAAAAGTTGTGTCCGCTCAATTGTGCTCCTTCTTGCAAAAAAAATGATCTCTATGAAGAATTTCAGTCAGGTTTCAGGCCCCACCATAGCACAGAAACTGCACTTGTTAAAATTACAAATGACTTGCTTCTTGCGTCAGACCAAGGCTGCATCTCATTGCTAGTTTTACTTGATCTTAGTGCTGCGTTCGACACTATAGATCATGACATACTCATAGATCGATTACAAAACTACACAGGTATTCAAGGGCAGGCTTTAAAATGGTTTAGATCCTACCTGTCTGATCGCTACCACTTTGTTCATTTAAATGGGGAGTCATCTCAATTATCACCAGCAAAATATGGAGTGCCACAAGGATCTAATTTTGCTTGGTTGGAGCAGCAGCTACGCTAATTATGTCTCTATTTTGTTTCTCTGTTTTTGCCACGGGATGTCAGGATTTACACAAGCTTCAGTCTGGATCCAGAACACCTGAGAAGAGATGATGCCAACCCCTCAGAGGACCTCAGATGATGCCAACCCTGAAACAACATACAGAACTACCACATTTTGCTATAAGTTTGATTGCATCATATAATAATTGCTGTTAAAATAGTGTTCATCGTCTGTTTGATTACGTCTTTAATAGATTTTTCCGTACATTTCTGCCATATGTACATAAACTGACAGTCACCACTGATAAGCTACTACTAAATATTGAAGAAACTTAATTTTCTGTAAAGTTGCTTTGCAACGATTTGTATCGTAAAAAGCTCTATACAAATAAACTTGAATTCATTATGTGAATGCTTGACTGAATCTAGATTTAAATCTAGATTTTAATCTAAATTTATACTGGGAGAGTGTCTCTGAGCCCCGAACTTTATCAGGAAGGCTATTCCAGAGTTTAGAAACCAGGTGAGAAAATGCTCCCCCTCCTTTAGTGAATTTAGATAGCCTAGGTATTACTAAAAGTCCAATGTTTTGTGACCTTAAAGAGCGTGATGGATTGTAGGGCATTAGAATATCAGTTAAATATACAGGAGCAAAACCACTCTAGCAGCTGCGTTTTGGACTAACTGTAGCTTGTTTATTGAGGATGCAGGACAACCAGCTAGTAATGCATTACAGTAATCCAGTCGAGAGGTCATGAATGCATGAACTAGCTTTTCTGCGTCAGAAACAGATAACTTGTTCCATAGCTTAGCAACGTTTCTGAGATGGAAGAAGGCTGTTTTTTGTAACATATGAAAATATGATTTGTGAAAGATAAGTTGCTGTCCAATATAGTGCCCAGGTCTTTAACTGCAGATGATGACATAACAGTACATCCTTCTAGTTGCAAATTGTACTTTAAGAGATGCTGTGTGCAGGTTTTTGGTCCAATAAGTAATACCTCAGTCTTGTCTGAATTTAATAGGAGAAAATTACTGGTCATCCAATATTTTATATCTTTAACATATTCTGTCAACTTGGATAATTTAGAGATTTCATCTGGCCGTGATGAAATATATAACTGAGTATCATCGGCATAGCAGTGGAATCGAATTCCATGTTTTCTAATAATGTTGCCAAGTGGCAGCATGTATACTGAAAATAACAGAGGGTCTAACACAGATCCTTGCGGCACCCCATAATTTACTGATGTTAACATGGAGTTTTCATTGACACAACTGGGATAGCTTTCCAAGCCTGAAGCCAGAGGGCGAGTGGTTTTAGTTTTTCGAATGGTAGTTCGCCGCACGGGGGTGGGAAACTTACATTCGTGGTAACTAGGAGAGGAGAAATGCTCTTTTGAGTATGTGGGTCCGCTATCATAGCGGTAGTTTGATTGGGTGCGCACTGAATGGAGAGGACGGGCCCAGCTTGAATGAAGTCGCTCAGTGTCAAACGGAGGGATGGAGAGCGAGCATGAGACTTCTTCGAGGGAGTTCTGGCGTCATTGAGAACTGACCCTCTCCTCGTCCTCTCTGAGTTTGGATCAGGATGGCTTCTGAGGCTGAGGGTTCAAAGTCACTCTGGGGCATGGACCTTGACGCTTTGGTAGCGTTTTGCCATTTGGGGGCACTGCTGAAGGAAATCAAACCGTTCGCAGCCAACAAGGGGTGCTGATACTCACGTGTGAAACACACATAGGCAAATCGAGGCGTTGCGGGGAGAGTGAAGCACGCGGGACCTGTGCCGGCATGAGTTCACTCGAGCCAGGTGTTTGAGCCCCGCTGTTCCGCTGGTTCTTCCTCCTAGGGGAGGGAGGAAACGGGAGAGCAGACCAGGGAGGACCGCCTTTGTTGAAGAAGTAGATCCGCGAGTGGAGAAAGGTGAGACTCATGCTCTCTCAGTGAGAAAATGATATCCCGGTGAGCGCAGCCTCTGCGTGGGCGCTGCCCAGACAGGCGACACACTCACTGTGCCCATCTGCATCATACAGGGGTTCCCTGCACAAGCCACACTCGTGGTGCTACATTTGTAACAACGTCGCTGGAAATTTGCTCTAATAGGTGCCGAATGGCCACAGGGGAAGGCTTCTGGCTTCTTCTTTCTAGCTTCTTTCTTCCTCTTCTTCATCTTCTCGCTGACTCTGCAAGCAAGAAGACGATCTTCGTCGCTGAAGGAGAAAAATTCTGATGAAATTGTGCTCAGAGCAGACTTATATAGCAGTCGGCTTCACCCCTTTTGGCAGGTTAAAGTGCCATTGGACACCCAGCAATGATGTGAAATGTGGATGTTTTACATGTCTAAAGCATATAAAGTGAATAATCTTGTCTTCATCAGCTCGTCTTTTTACATAAACAATGAGAAACCATAAAAACATTCATTTCGCCCCTTCATTCAAACACTCAGATCACACATGTGTATATCACCAGCACATCGGTCTTCGGTCCGTGTTAAACTGTTTCCTCAGTTCAGTGACTGTTGGAGGAACTGTTGGATGCAAAACCCAGCATCATAGGATCAGATATGCTGCTATTCTGGCTCATTTCAAGTCAGGGTTACATTGAGGCATCTGAAAGTGAGTTTTGATTGAGTTACTTGTAGATCTGTGCTACTCGAGCTGCGAACTGCTCCGATTTTTTTTTTCTCAAAACATGGTAGCTGCTGTCTTGCATTGTCTGACCACGTTTTCAGCTAAAAATCTTCTTTACTGTTCTACTGAAGAAAAAGTCGCTTATCTCTTGAATGGCCTGAAGGTGATTAAATTAACAGCAAATTTTCATTTTTGGGTGAACTATCCCTTTATTGACTGTTGAACTGATAAAGCGTGGTTTTCTCCACAGGTTAAGGCTCCAGCACAAGCCCAAGGCTTCCTGAGGTCTGCGTTTCCTCTGAGCTGTCCCAGGATGCTGCTGAGGAGCTGTGCAGCTGCCAGACCCCCTTCCACCTCTCCCTGCAGGAGGACGTCCCATCTGAAGGAGCACGCTGAGGACCGCTGTCCCCGCGGCGTGAGGTCAGGAAGGGAGTGCGCTGGGTCAGACGGCACCCGCAGCTCTCCTCCAGGAAGCTCCTGTTACTCGTCCCAGTGCAGCAGCCCCGCAGGCCTGTCGATGAACTGGTACGAGCCCGCGATAACCTCAGAAACCTCCCTAACCCGCCTCCGGCTGGAAGAGGAGGAGCCGGAGATGAATGTGGACACGGGTTGTGCTGTGAAGCCGCAGGCCGCTTTAGGAGTGTCTGCTCTGCTGACTCTGTCTAGAGACCAGAAACACGTCCTGGATGAGCCACGGTGGACCACTGACGAGAGCGCAAAGAGCGTCCTAGCAGAGACACAAGCTTCACAGTGTCACAGTCGACCTCAACATGCACAAGTAGATGAGTTCTTCATCTGACTGTTACCATTCACTCATTTGTTTGGAAAAGCAGCACACATTTACATGAATGCATTTGCCAAAGCCACTTACAGTGCATTCACATTGTATCAGTTCATGCATTCCCTGGAAATAAACAGCAGTACTGTCGCTTTCACACATGATCGTCCACTCGCATCGTTGATTACATAATCTTAATAAATGACAAATTAATAGAACTCTTTAATTGCATTTTATCTTTTGTATAGGATTTATAGTGGGGTTCAAAAGAGAATGAAAATGCTTCTATTTTGCATTTTAGTTCAGATTTTTCTATACAAATTGCATGATCAACATAATGTCAGTGAGATCATCCTGGTGGGAAGGGATCTGGGTTTACTAGCTTCATAGTGCATTCACATTGTATCAGTTCATGCATTCCCTGGAAATAAACAGCAGTACTGTCGCTTTCACACATGATCGTCCACTCGCATCGTTGATTACATAATCTTAATAAATGACAAATTAATAGAACTCTTTAATTGCATTTTATCTTTTGTATAGGATTTATAGTGGGGTTCAAAAGGGAATGAAAATGCTTCTATTTTGCATTTTAGTTCAGATTTTTCTATACAAATTGCATGATCAACATAATGTCAGAACAGATCATCCTGGTGGGAAGGGATCTGGGTTTACTAGCTTCATCCTTACTAGTAATGAAGCTAGTAAACCCTAATTAAGCAGGTTTATGTTATTCTGCACAAAAGCACTGTATGCATCTCAGAACTGTTTATTGTATGTCCACTAAATTATTAGCACTATACATTACAAACTCAGCAGAATTTCTGAGACTGTCTCAGTATTTTGACATTTGATAATGTATTTTTATGAAATGTATCAAATGTGTAGTACTTTGTATTTCATTACAGTTATTACTTGTAAAATAATGTTGTGTATGTTGGTAACAAACTAATTTAATAATTATGTAGTTATATGAAGAAGAATGTTTGAAATAATTCAAAGGAGTGTCATTTTCTTTAATAGATTCTCTCAGTCTGGAAGATCTTTGTTAGGCAGCCTTCATTCATTTTCTGGCCTTCATTTAGTGTATTGTGAAGGACTCATCAAGTGTATTTTTCACGTTCTTTAATCACCCACAATCCTTTGCCCACATTCCAATAAATAAATTAAAATGGCAGAAAGTGAGTCAGCATTGAGCCCAAGTTAATTATGAAATGTAAGACAAAAATGTTTTTTGAGATGAAGACATTCATTGCTTTTATTTGCTTTGCAGTAAATTAATCTAGAAGCCTCGTTTCTGACCAGTTTGGCACCCTTCCCCACCTCACAGCTTAAGATGTCTTTTAATAAGCATTGAAATTATTATTAGCATTGACATTACACCACCTTTATTAAAATGACCAAATTATTCGCTTCATATTCACACCAACATATTTCAGCTAGTTGCCAAGGCAACATTTCTCATTTTAATTGTTTAACCTGATGTTCTAAAATAACTAAAACTGAAATAAAAATTACTAAAAACCATAGAGATATTTATTTTTAAAAACTACAAAAAAAGACAAAAACCCACAACAAATTTACTAAAATAAAAAAATTATAAATAAAAATATTTATATATATATATATATATATATATAAATAAAAACTATAATAGTATCTTAATGATACTAAAATATCACAGCTCAATGTCAAACAAATAAGTGACGCTCCATTGTAAAATGATTTTAGCGTGTTTTTAAATAATTCCAATCTCTAGACACATGATGTATTAAATGAAAAATAAATGGACAATGTTTACAATAAAATAATTATAAAACACTGACATGCTTTATTAAAACCCAAATTATCCTAAATCCAAGTATATATTAATTTTAGTTGATTATTTTAGTTAACATTCAAAATAAATTAACATTAACAAAAATAGCACGCAAATATATCCCGCAGTGATCCGCACCTTTCCAGGATCGAATCTCCAGTACTGCTGCTCTTTAAAGAAATACAGCTTTCCGTCCGGTCGAGTCGAGGCCCCGTTGAGCCCGCGTGGAAGCCCCTTCCAGTCCCGCAGGGCACGAGGGTAGTACGGCTCCACGCTGAGAGACTCCAGGTTCAGCACATAGTAGCGGGATCCTCTGAAGAGCAGCATGTGTCCCAGAGGCTGGTAGAAGAAGGCACAGTCAGGGTGATTCGGCAAACCCAGATCACTGCTCTTCATGGGGAATCCAGGGTCCAGATCAGAGCCGTCCTGCCAGGAGAAAACAACATGGAGATGAGTGGAGTACATGCAGCCTAACCCTCTGCTGTTTGGTCATTTTCACTGAAAATTTTTAAATTTAGTTTTTTATTTTTTACTTCAGAATCATACAAAACTTGATAAAAGCACTTGGTATGTGAAAAAAAATTATAATAATGGACATGATTTGAAAGGTTAAATGGTCCTAAAAATAGCCACACACAAAAATGACTGCACTGGTTTGCAGTTTTAGAGAGAGAGAGAGCAAAAAAAATATATATATATACACTGTATATACACACACACACACACACACAGTGTTGAGGGTAACGCATTACAAGTAACGCAAGTTAATCAGATTACTTTTTACATCATCCACTGAAATGAACGTGCATACAACAGTTAGTGTAAGCTAGAGATTACAGTTTATAAAGTTGTAAATATGGATATTTTTCTTACAAAAATGCATTGATTCGCTTCAGGAGGCCTTTATTCACCCCCCGGAGCCGTGTGGGACACTTTTTATTATGGATGGATGCGCTTTATTGGACTTCTTTTGGACTATTGACAAGAAACACCCATTCACTGCCATTATAAAGCTTGGAAGAGCTATGTGCGCACTTTTGGAGTAAAAGTTTATATGTTGTGTAGCGAAGCACTGATTAAAAATAAATGGAAGCAAATGTGATTGAATACATACAGGTTTGTGTCACATTATTCTATTCAAAATATCATTAACTCCTGATTGATTTGCATTCCTGGCAGAAATAAGAACTATTAGTGTCATTGTAACCAAGTATTATCATAAATAGTGGTCAAATATCGAAGCTAATCTCAAGGTCAAATCAGAATTATTGCAAAAATGTTTCTGTAACAAGTGCCAAAAATAATCTATATTATTTTAGCTACACCTAGATTACATAAATTTGATTTATTCTGGGTTCTCCTAAAATCATTATTTCTAGTAGATTAAAGCACAGTCTTTTGTTTCCACAAATATGTGTCCAGAATAAATCATACAGAAGTACCAATGAATGGAGCCGGGGGCACATCATTCGCACCTTCTGATTTCTGACTATCACTGACTTAGCAAGTTGCAGGTTCGTGAATATAAAAAAAAAAACATATATATATATATATACTTTTTGTTATGTGCAAGCAGAGCGGCCTACTCAGAGCAGAGGTGGGTAGAGTACCCAAAAACTGTACTCAAGTAAAAGTAAAAGTACTTATAGAAATATTTACTCAAGTAAAACTAAAAGTACTAGTCTGAATAGTTTTTTGAGTAAAAAAGTATCGGATAAAAAAACTACTCAAGTAGTTAGTTACTAGTTACTTTGGATCATATACTGAATATCTATAGTCTATTTTTATTTAGATATATAGATAAAATTCCAAAACCGGAAAATCCGGTTGAATCCGATGATTCCAAAAAATCCCCAAAACCGATTTCCATGACTGGGGAAGTCGTGGCCTAATGGTTAGAGAGTCAGACTCGTAACCCAAAGGTTGCAGGTTCGAGTCTCGTACCGGCAGGGATTGTAGGTGGGGGGAGTGAATGTACAGCGCTCTCTCCCACCTTCAATACCACGACTGAGGGGCCCTTGAGCAAGGCACCGAACCCCCAACTGCTCCCCGGGTGCCGCAGCAAAAAATGGCTGATGAAATGGCAGGAGTAACAGCTGATGAAAATTCTGATTTGCATCACTGAATTAAATTATATTTTAAATAGGGATGCACCGATACCACTTTTTTCAGATTGAGTCCGATACCGATACTTTCATTTTTGCTACTCGCCGATACCTGTATTCTCACAGCATTTGTAATTTGGGTACAGACACAAAATAATAGTAATAATAATAATATAAATCATGTTATTTGGCTTCATTTAGCAAACAGATATTACCTTCAGTTATTTCCTCACTTAATTATACCTGTTAAAAGGTATTGTATAAGCTTTTGTTACTTTCACTGTTCATTTTAATGGCGCATTAGAGCTGCTCCATTGCAGCAGCTCAATACTGTCATTACAAAACGTTTTCCTAAAATAATGCAGGGAACCACTATATGTTATACATAGGGCTGGACAATAATTCAATATCAATATGTATCGCGATATAATTTTTTTCAATAACGGTGATATGATTTTTAAACACATTTCCGATATTTCGATATACATTACCAGTTTCCCATACATTGATTTATTTGTGCCGTTTGACATGAGCGCTGCACGTTTCAAAATCATAACACGGTGCGGGTGTTTTATATGAATGTATCTCTGAAGGAAACCGACTGTCTTCAGAAA